TACCTGTAACTTACCAATGGATAGGCCTATATTCAATTTGTTCAAGTTCAAAGTTGTGAGTGAATATTGTTGTATTTCATTGTGTGTTGTTCTGTATTTTCACGCATTGTTCTGTATGTACGCATCAACATCTGCTTATTAAACGCATGAAAAATAGGCCTACGTTAATTGTTAATGTATAAAAATTAATTTCGTTTTTTTGTGCCCAAACTTGTTTACAAAAACGTAATGCAATAATAGCATATAGACTACTATTGTATAGTTTCGGAAAATATTTCAGCCGCTCCAAATCTCTTTCCTATTCTTATTTCTTCCTTTATTCTTTCACAATTTTGCGTTTAAATCATATTTTTCATAATTGTATACATTCACATATAGTAAATTGTTTAGGCCTAGACTAGGCTATACCTCAGCTTGGCTATTACTATATTATTTAAATATACAATTTTGATAAATAGGATTATTTTAACATTAGAAATTTAAATGTAAATATAATGACGTTAACGAATAAATAACAATAAATAAAACGTGTACATAGTATCACTACTACAATAATAAGATTAATATTTTTCAATTTTATAATCAATTTTATATAGCCGGGGTTAGTATTGACCTATGCTACTATGGCTAACGACAGGTACGCTTTCTCCAATAAAGGCCTCTTCTATGAATGGATTGACCTGTACGAAACACGAACTCCTGAAGACCGAACCCAGTACCGTCGTTATGATTTTAATCGTGCAGGAAATATCCTCAAAATGTATCTTGGAAAGACCTCTTTCCAAGATAACGTATCTTGGAATTTCTTCCTTTATTCTTTCACAATTTTACGTTTTAATCATATTTTTCATAATTGTATACATTCACATATAGTAAATTGTTTAGGCCTAGACTAGGCTATACCTCAGCTTGGCTATTACTATATCATTTAAATATACAATTTTGATAAATAGAATTATTTTAACATTGGAAATTTAAATGTAAATATAATGACGTTAACGAATAAATAACAATAATTAAAACGTGTACATAGTATCACTACTACAATAATAAGATTAATATTTTTCAATTTTATAATCAATTTTATATAGCCGGGGTTAGTATTGACCTAGGCTACTATGGCTAACGACAGGTACGCTTTCTCCAATAAAGGCCTCTTCTATGAATGGATTAACCTGTACGAAACACGAACTCCTGAAGACCGAACCCAGTACCGTTAAGATTTTAATCGTGCAGGAAATATCCTCAAAATGTTTCTTGGAAAGACCTCTTTCCAAGATAACGTATTTTGGAATTCCGTCTTTCCAAGATAATTTATCTTGGAATTCCGTCTTTCCAAGATACGTTATCTTGGAATTCCGTCTTTCCAAGATACGTTATCTTTGAATTCCGTATTTCTAAAATACGTTATCTCGGAAAGACGTCTTTCCGAGATAAATTATCTCGGAAGACGTCTTAATAAGTGCTTATTCCATGTTTCCAAGATAATTATCTTGGAAACTCGGAAACTCGGAAGGTCACTTTAAGCTTCCGTAGTGAAATGATGTTAACTTTGCACCTTTCTGCGGCTGCTACAGAAGTCACAGATTTTGCCCATATGCAATTCAGCACAATGGCGCTGTGGGATATGTGTTCTTCTCCTACATTTTACCTTTACCTACCTTTACCCTTTCTGTGGAAAAAAAAGTAATAAGTAAACATATATATTGAAATCTATAGCTCAATGTAAACTAATCTGATTGATTTTTATTTGTATAGGCTGGTATGACTCATTGTATCTTACTACTTTGTGTAAAAATCTATTTAATTGCAGATTTGAATAAGCCAGGACTTGCGTGTCCAGATGACAAGAGCCAGTTATTGAACGACAGCTGTTTTGTTGATCCTATGTTTGAAGTCAGTGGAACAGATCATGTTGGCAATTTGCTCAGTGCTACATGTACTCCAATGATCTTCAATAGCACTGGAAACTATACCATCACTTGTTTGGTTACAGACATGGCAGACAACTTTGCATCGTGTATATTCTTTTACACTCTTTCGGGTTGGTTATTTAGTACATCATTTGCCTGTTTTTGATAGTTCATGTAAACTTGAATGAATAAACTTAGTGAGATATATTTTTCAATTTACTCACAGATGAAATTGCACCAAATATCACTTGTCCAAGTGACGTTGAATTTTGTAATGACAAAGGAAGTGATTACACAAATGCCACCTGGGATGCAGCCATTGCAACTGACAACTGCTGTAGTGATATCAGCATAAATGCAAACTACACAAATGGAGTCCCTTTTTCAATTGGTGTATACACAGTAGGGTATGAAGCAACCGATTGTAATGAGGTGACTGGCTACTGTCAATTTACAGTGGCAATTAAAGGTATACCGATTTGTACTAATACAATTTAGATTTCTGTTTCTTTTCTTGTTGAATGAGGGTTACGCCGATGAACTGGTAGCCATTATCAGTAGAGGCTAAATATGTTTCAACATTAACCAAACTCTAAAAATTAAGGATTTTTGTATATTTTGCAAGTCTATACACAGAAAAATTATTGCTGCCTTTTTATATCTGCGTTAGTTAGATATTAAGGGTCAAAGGTCGACTACCTTAATACAGGATATTCCGGGTAATAATTCCTCAACCACTTGCTCTTAAAACTCAAAGACAGTGTCTAAAAATAGGTTTTTTTGATCAACAATTATTTAAATATGTTTGCCTCCTTCTAGTAGCTGTGTTAGAAAAATATTCAGGGTTAAATGCTGATGACCTTTATACAGCATGTCCTGGGTCATAACTCCTCAACTACTTGCTTTAAAACAAAAAAAAATATGTCTGCACTTAGGTTGTTGGGGGGGGGGGGTAAACAATTATGGAAACATGTTTGCCGCCTTCTCAAAAATTCAGGGTCAGAGGTCAACGACCTTTATAGAGCATGTGGTCATGATTTCCAAACCACTTTGTCTAGAGCACAGAAAGTTTGTCTACACCGAGGTTTTTGGGGTCAACAAACACAATTAACTTATAATATAAACATTCAAATGCATCCTTCATTGCTTTTTTTTAGCTAGGATACACACTCTAAAAATGGTAATTTAACTATAGATAAAATGCGATACATTTTCCCCCTTAAACTCCAATGCTAATCAGGTAACATACAATAGTAAAAACATTTATGAATATATAAAAATGCACTTCATTTACCATTTTTTCGCTCAATATTTAAAGTCTATTTTATGCAGGGCTAATAGTACCCAAAGGCAAAATTTTCCTTTCGTAACAGTATGGATACTGGCTACATGAACAAATCAGTATCATCAATATCATTATAGTAGATTATTTCTTCAACATAATCGCATCTATTAACCTGGCAAGGGCCACAAGCAGTGGTGCATGTAACATAAGCTCTCTTGCACTTTAAATCTTATAACCTGAGTAGGCCTAGTTCTCCTGGTGCGTGATTGTTTCTTGATGCAGCCCGTTGTTTTCTTCATTTCCCCACCCCTTTTGCATGCAGGTTAAGGTAGTCACCGAAGTCCATCACGTTGACCAGGTGATGCGTTCTGAGGCTTTGAAAATGAGTCCCTGACTTGCTTAGTAGCAACTGTGATAACTTGACAACTTTTGTTAGAGGAAGACAATTTTTTTTTAATATTTGATCTCTGAGTTCGAAAACTCCCTTACTTTCCCCCCAGAAAAGGTCATCATTACCATTCACGTGTGTTTCTCTATAATGCCTTGATCCTGGTCTGATTTCATAAAAACTTAAGCACATTACTTGAGTACATTAGGCTTCTGCCACCAACCAAGTCAGTGACGCATTTCCAATGCCTCAGAGCTTACCATCATGTCAAAATGTAGGACTACGGTAAATATCTTAACCTATGTGAATGTGGGCTACAGAATTATGAAAATAATTAGGGGTTGCATCCCATAATGACAATAGGCAAGTGCGCACCATTATGTAACTTCAAAACAGAGTGCAGCACTGCTGGTGTTCATGCAGGAAAGCCAGGTTGATTTTGATGAAGTAGTCTATTCTGATGCTATTGATGGTTATACTGATTTGTTATAGTCAGCATCCACACTGTTACGAAAGAAAAAAATTGTATTTGAACAAAATTGAGCCTACATGAATTAGTGACAATGAATATTGAGCGAAAAGATAAATGAATCGGCTAAGTGCATTGTTATATAGTTTACAGAGTTAAATGTATAAATGTGTTTACTATTGTATATGTTCTCTGATTAGAACCAATGTTATTTGGCAGTGGCGCCGAGAAGACGGGAAAACCGGGCAAGTTCCCCGGGTCCTGGGCCCGGTAGAGGCCTGGAATAACTAGAAAAAATAATGAAATGAAACAAATAAATATAAATTCATCCAGTATTATTCATGTATTTTTCCAACCAGAATTGCAAATAAAGCTGATCGTTTATGATGAAAGGTGGTAATTTATCGCTTCTAATTCTTTTTCATGTATATTTTATGATTTCTACTACTTTAATGTTTTTGTTTACAATGTATCAAATAGTAAATTCTTTACGTTATTAATTAATAATTATGAAAGGCTTGGACCCTCAACATCTTCAATATAAGTTAGAAAATACGAATAGACCTGATAGAGATTCCATCGTCAAATAAATAATGAATTAATAATCGATATAAACGAGAGGCGGATTTAAGGGGAGGCCCGGTCCCCACTTACTAAAACTTACAAAATGTAACAAAAACCAAGAAAATAAAAAGAAAATTCTACTCCAACTAGAAGTCTACGAGTACCATTTCCGGTTGTCCAGAGGTGCCATAATAACAATATTTTCTTACCTCAGCCCAACACGTCCATCTGTGAAAGTTCTTCTTTGGGTCAACTATGTCAAATTTCTGGATCTGCCACTGTAAACTTGTATTCTTATGAATAATTTTAGCATGTTTCAATAAATGGAAGGGTAGCAGTTATTTTAACGTTTCTATTTTTTATTTTTCATGACCTGGTGACATGACCTGGAACATGTTGTATAATGTAACTGACATTTGACCCTGAATATATGGTCAAACGCAGCAACTTTAACTGGAGATATTTTTCCACATATAGTTAACCCTAAAAGTCTAGGTGTAGGCACTAATTTTGTGCCTTTAGACGAAATAATTAAGGAAATATGACCCAAGACATAACGTATAAAGCTCATTGACTTTTGACACTGAATACTTGAGATACCGGCAAAAAAGCTTCCATTATTGTTGACCCAAAAATCGTAGGTACAGACAGTATTTTTGTGCTTTTTGAGCAATGGTTGACAAGTTATGACCCGGGACTTGCTGTATAAAAGCTATTGACCTTTGACCCTGAATATTTGATTAGGCTATAAAAGGCGGAGAATTTTTTTAATTTTTCTAGTGTAGACAATATGTTTGAGCTTCCAGAGAAAGTGGTTGAGGAGTTATTAACTGGAACATGCTGTATAAAGATTGTTGACCTTATACTCTGAATATCTGATCAACGTACCAATGAAAAGGCAGAATTTGTTTTTCTTTTATTATTCACATGTAGGCCTACAAGAATATGCAAATAGTCCTTTATTAGAGTTTGTTGAATGTTACATAGCATTTGTGTCACATTAAGCCTGTACTATTAAACCATGGAGATCTTTTTAGATAATTTGTTTCCAGATGTAAATATTGCTCTATATGTGTTTCAGCTGGAAAGCCAAACTACATTATATATTGTTAGAAGAGACGGTTATCCGTTTTCCCGTGTGCACCCGTGTGCAATTCGGTCCATTATACAAGAAAACAGTCCATACAAGTCATAAAATCTGATTTGAAACTTTACGTTTTTTTTAAGAATGTATCTATATAAATAATACGCTTATTTCCTAAGTCGCAGTTATTTTATTGTTTAAAAAGATTGTGAACCTCCAGTGCTTGAATGTCCATCAAACCAAAATGTAACCGGTGATTCCGATTGTATGGCAGCTGCAATGTGGGCGGTACCCACAATCACAGACAACTCTGGAGATAGTTTTTCAGCAAAATGTGATTACATGAGTGGAAGTACTTTCTCTGAACTTAACTCTACTGTCACTTGTAATGCTACTGATGATAATGCCAACACTGGATACTGTACATTCAACATTTTCATCATTGGTAAGATATTTGGAACATTTATGTACTCATAAGTTAATACGCACCCCCCTCCCCACACACACACACATATATATATCTGTCTCTTATACACATCTTGTATCAAATAGTAAATTCTTTACGTTATTAATATATATATATATATATATATATATATATATCATTTATCTCATTTATGTTCCTATTACCGGTTCTTGAAAAATAGGTTAAAGGTATTATTTTAAATGGTCTCGACGTTACTAAGAATCCTGAGTGCGATGATATATTTCCAAAAACAGTTCAATTAGACTGTAATGATATTGCTCACCCGATTACGTACCATTAATCAGTCTTTATTAACGGTCGTAGTTCGTAATAAACTAAGGATTGCTGAAGTCATACCGATGAAGGGTGATCGCAGTGACATGTCGAACTATAGACCAATCCTTTGTTCCCTATATCTTCAAAAATCCTTGAAAAAGTTGGTTTTTAGAATGAGTGATTATAACACAAAATTGTATCCTAGGTGAATATCAGTATCGAAAATCAGTACTTCAGTATGTTTTTCTGTTGTGTAGTTAGTATATTTACACAAAAAATTCAATATAATTCATTTCCATAACAAAAGGTTAATAACAAGAAACGCGTTTTGCTCAATATTGTAAAACTATGATTTTGGCTTATAATGCGTTCTTCCGAAACACGGCAGTATACTGGTCATCTTTTAAAGTGACAGGAAATTCACTAGACAATTGAACATTAACTTTCACACGCTATAATGTCACTTTACCTTTGACAGAATAATCCGACTACATTAAAGTAAGTGCAACAAACAAGATGTTAAATCATAGAAAAAGATTTTTTTTTAATAATCCAAACAGAAAGAAACCCCTCATAAACATGAGGTGACTTGATTAGACACACCTCCGAATATATTTGTTATATTAGAGACCCAATATCACTGACTTAGAATAGATAAAGTAATAAAAACAACAAACGAACTGACTCCACTCTAAAAGGGTTCAACTCTAATAACATCTGAGAAACCTGGAGTAATTCGAGTGTATATCTGTAGTGCATTAGATCAGTTGATGCTGAATAAATGCTCTGCAAAATAGTACTAGTCGAACCGTTGTGATCTATCTCATTGAAAGTCATTCATCCTATCACAAACCCATCCTAGAATATGGAACTAGAACCACAACACCCTCTCCATACCAACCAACCATAATAATACACTATTAACAAGTACGTACCATTGAGGTTAACAAGCCCTAAGGAACTTTAATATGAATTATTTATCTGAGAGATAGTCTAAAGTCTATCTCTCATCAAACAATATAAGTTTATGTACCAGTTTAAAAGAAAATTCGTCTGTGTTTAATCCAAGGATATATGACACATAGATAGATAAATTTATGTTTTCTAGTAAAACCCAGATAATTTTGTCGAATTCGCAATAAAATGACTTACGATTTAAGCATATTGCCAAATATATTGCCAAAGTTATAAATACAATTTTGTGAGGTTTTCCAGTTTGTGGAGTAAACACAAGCATCTGATCTTTCAGTGTATGTCTTAATGTTATATAGATAATGCAATACAAATAACAATCAACAACAATTATTTAGCCTAATTAATCTTGACTATTTTTTTTTATTAGATTCTACTTCACCTAATGTGACATGTCCAGACGATATTACGGTTGATAATGGTGTAGGTGCTAATACAGCAGAAGTGACATGGGAATCTGCAGTTGCTACTGATAACTGCTGTGGAGACAACATTAATGTGTCATATAATGCTACGAATGTCAGTCATTTTTATATCGGCGTTACTAAAATAGCAACCACGGCAGTGGACTGCTATGGAAACCAGAATGAATGTGTCTTCCTAATTAATGTTGAAGGTACAACATTAAGTTTTCAGATATATTTTAACTCGAAACTGTTTTGCTGTAGCATACACTTTTATGAAAAAATATTTAAATGAGGATTTGACCAATGACCTTTAAGTGTGCAGTTAAAGTCTTTGATTTAATTTTGTATTATTTTCTCTATCAGACAAAGAAACACCGGTGCTTGAATGTCCCCCCAACCAAAACTTAACTGCAGATTCTATCTGTATGGCAACTGCCACTTGGATTCCACCGAATGTCACTGACAACTCCAGGAATACTTTCATTCCGGTATGTGATTATGTAAATGGAAGCACCTTTTCTTACAACACCATCGTAACCTGTAATGCCACAGACGATTATGACAACACTGGAAATTGTACCTTTACAGTTACAGTCATTGGTAAGATTCATTATGTGAATAATAGGTGAATAGGCATATCAACTGAACCAAGTTCCTGTAATGAAGTACTTTAAAACATCGATACAATCAATCTTCAATTAAATTTGGTTTTAACATTAGGGCAGATAAATAAAGGAATTAGGAATGTAATATGGTTGTTATGAGACTAACCAGTAACAACGGTGTTATAGCGCTAAGCGGTTTGTAAACGATCGATTTATTTTAATTATCTATATAAATTTATTGCACATCCGACAGTGTTAACACCAATTACAGGATAAAAATATAAATATAGAAACTTACACAAGCACAGTTAAAAGCTTAACATTAATTTCAAATTAGATTAACTTAGATTAACATTGTTTAACCAACTCGTGTGTAATAAACTTAAACTCGAAAAAACTACAATGTCAGGATTTTCACAAACATAATTTATTAAGGGATGAATTCTTTTCTTTGAATCTAGAAGATTGTGTGTCAGATTGTGTGTCAGATTGTGTGTCAGATTTTGAATTATAGATAACCGAACAATAATTTAAATAAAATGTTAGATAAATAGAGTTATAAGGTGTAATTTTTGTGGTTAAAGGAAATTATATCAGAAGAATAATGTATGTATTCGAACATTTTTAAGTACAAAAATACATTAGTCAAAGGTATAACTGTTTCACACAAAAATTGTTGATTTTCCTAAAACCTTCAGTCATGGTACTCAACAGAAATATTAACAGTTTAAAAATAAACAAAATCAACATTTACTTAACTTTTAAAATTACATATGGGCTTTACAGTAACAGGATTATTGCACTGTAGTCAGAAGAAAGGGGTGTTAGGTAAAGGTTAAACTGTTAGTGGTTACATCTAACAAAACACTATTGTATTTGGTTTCTGCTTGAAACTTTAGTCAAACAATCATTAAAATAAAAAAGAATAATGCCATTAAGTGCCCGCTAAGATTATTTTTTGGCTGTGTAAGACTTATATATACAGTAGTTATTTAGTAAAAATAAATATAAGTTTAAAATAAGTCTTTTATTTTTATGTCATTAGATTCAACAGTTACTTAGATGGTAAATTATGTTCTCATTTTGTTATTGCTAGGTTATTTTGCAGTAGGATATAAATTTAACTAAAACTAGATAAATGTTATGCTTTAAAAACAAAAATAAAATAATTAAGATTGCAACACTTAAATAGGTTAAAATTAGCAAAGATTATGGCAATATAAAATTAGAAAATTACTGCACATTTGGTACCTATTAAACATTAGTTGAACTGTGTCTATTCACTTGACGTGGAGCACCTCGTATTTTATATGTTTGTGCTACCTTAGATTTTATTGCTGCTGGCTAGATATCCGAGTAATCAACGCCAGTATAATATAAAATATATTGTCTCAAACATTGGAAATATGCAAGGTATCTTGCCAAAATGAGTTGCGCTTGGTCTTTAAAATTAATTTTCTAGGTTGAGTAGAACTGCTTATACAGAAATAAGTTTGATATTGAGATTTTGAAAGACAGTTTGATTCAGAAATTTTAAACTTTAATTAATATACTAGACACATTTTGTCATGACGACTCATGCACTGGAGCAGTGTAATGCAGCAATGACCGTGGCCTGCTAGCCTCATTATTCTAATAGTGTCTACTGTGATAATTTCCCTTGTTGCTGACATTGTTTTGATGTCCAATGTGTAGATATGAAACATTAAATTACTTACTGACATAATTGAATCGTGGAGAAAGGAGGTAAAATTAAAGCGTTTTGATGATCCCAGGTCAATTGTCAAAATTTGTTTACAGGTGATTAACGTATTTCTTGTATTTTAGTTATTTATAAATTCAAAAGAAGTAAACAGTCGTTTTACTGTACTTGTAGAATATTTGTTTTACAATAATGTAGTACATTTTGCTGTCATCTTAAATGAAAACACAAATGTATTGTTGCAATCTGAACACAATAAATAAAAGTTTAACTTACCAACTATTGCTAATATTTTGATTTTGGTCTAAAATTGGCCCATCCTTGTGTTCTTACTGCAAGCCCTGCCCTGTTTCTAATTTCATTGCTGGTTTTGCATTGGAGAACATGTTTGTCATTGTAGCACACACCGGTCTACTTGCATTTGACATCTGTACTGCCGTGATTTGGAAAAACGCATTATATCCATTTTTTTATTTTTGAGATTTTTGGCTTAGGGGCATCCTATGGATGTAATGGTGTATATTTAATTAGTTTCCTAACTGGTAGAAGGGCATAACACCAAGTTTGTTTTTGGACAGAATACAATTAACATAAAATAGAATGTGTTTTGTTTTTAGTTTAAAGAATAAGTTGCAATATAACTATAACCAAGTTGTGGTGAGAATATAATTTTAGTCTGTAATATAACTATTATTATAACTAACACCATTCAACAAACAACATAAAACTCATAAATTTCAAACATAATTAGGATTTACTTAAGACTATTCAAGTCAATGCTGGGAATTTAGATACATTATTCTACGCTAAATTCACATTTAAATATTTTACAATATTTAAATGAGTACAAATTTATATGGGCCTAAAGATGTGTGTTTATAGAAATTGGGTATTTATTTTTTTTAATTAAAGTTAAATAATGTTTTTGTGTAGTGGTTACTGATAATATAAACTACTTCCATGTCTTCTGTTAATTTTTTAGACTTACCTTTCATTGTGAAATATGTCACTGATGAAATAGTGCATTAAAAAAAATGTATTATTAATAACAAGTGTTAGGTATTGCATATTACATTCTGTTCCTTGTTGACAGACAAGATGGCACCAAATATCACTTGTCCAGACGACATTGAAATATGTACTTACCCACTGGTTGATGCAACGAATGTCACCTGGGAACGAGCTAATGCTACTGACAACTGTTGTCGTGAAATCAACGTTACTGCCAACTACACCAGTGGAGATTCTCTGTCACGTGGTGTATACACAATAGGATATGCAGCAACAGATTGTAATGCAAATGTCGGTTACTGTCAATTCACTGTTAATGTTAAAGGTACCAGGAACTATTTAAAACAATTAACATCCTACTTAAGATAGTATAGTACATTCTCCAAGTATTGAAGTAGACGCAATCGTGTTGGAATCCAATTTAAATACTTGGAGCATGTAAAATATTATACTATTTTATCTGAGATTAATCTGTGAAATTGTTGGTGCAAGTACTTAGTTAAGAAAAATATTGATTGCGCAAAGCTATATAAAATTATTTAAAATAATAATAACACGAATTTCAAAGTTAAGGGATTTAATTCTACATATACACGTAATCAGTGTTCCAGTGTTAGCATTTTATGGATATTTAAATAGATTGTGAGCCTCCAGATCTTGAATGTCCACCAAACCAAATGGTAATAGGTGATCAGAATTGCATGGCAAATGTCACCTGGACAGCTCCAAATGTTACAGACAACCTTGGAGAATCCATCTCACCAGTATGTGACTATGTAGATGGAAGCACATTTTATGATGTCAGCACTGTTGTAACATGTAATGCTACTGACAGTTATGACAACACTGGCAATTGTACATTTGCCGTCAATATTTATGGTAAGACATATTATTATTGATTGTCCATTAACAGATTATATACATTGAGTAACTTTTGAATAGTTTATTTAGGAATAGAAAGTGTAGGGTATCGATTATATGTTAAGTAATGTATAAAATTATTCTAACTATGTTTAAATGCTTGCAATATTCAATAAAATATTTGTACATATTTTCATAAACTTGTTATGAATGAATTCCAAGTAGATAATTACAAAAATAACAATATTTTAATTAAATTTTTAATTTTTAATTATTCAGATAATGCAGACCCAGTCGTAAATTGTCCTGCTGACATAGAAGTGTGCGCTCAAACTGGTTCTATAGTAGCACCTGTCACTTGGGAACCCATCAATGCAACTGACAACTGTTGTGGGAATGTAAACATAACGTCAAATTACACATCAGGAGATCAATTTGAAATTGGTGTACATGTAGTAACATACACAGCAACTGATTGTAGTGAAAATTCTGCACATTGCAGTTTTACTATAGTGGTGTTTGGTAATTACAAATATGCATAAAATTGTATATGATTTAGAATTATTCAGTTATATCACTTGTACAGGTTCATTATTTTTTATAATAATATTTTATTGACGTTCAGATTGTGAAGCTCCTGTTTTGAACTGTTCGCAAGTTGTAGAATTTGATGCTGATGACAATTGCACTTCCGACGTAACTTGGAATGAAGTAACAGCAACAGATAATTATGATAGTAATGTAACTGTATTTTGTAGCCTGACTGAAGGTATATTTCCATTGAACAACTACACAGTCACCTGTAGTGCAACAGACATTTCAAGAAACACTGGCAATTGCTCATTTAGTTTTTACATTTTTGGTATGCATATTTTATGTAAATATTTTTCGAAATAATACTCCCAAGTCGTATTATGCTACTACATTAAAAAAAAATAAACATACAGATATTTGCATTTCTACACAATTTCTTGTGATTACATTTCTTACAGATGTAACAGCTCCCAATATTGTATGTCCAGACAACGTTACGATTGATACTAATGCAGGTGCTAATACCGCCGTAGTGACATGGACATCTGCCATCGTTTCTGATAACTGTTGTGAAGATGAAATTATTGTGTCTTATAATGCCACAAATGGCACCAATTTTAAAATTGGAGTTACTGAAGTTAGTTTCACAGCAGTAGATTGCTATGGAAATCAGGATGAATGTGTTTTTATTATTGATGTTGAAGGTACAACGTGTTATTTATTATAATATACTTGTTATTAGTAAGTGAAAAGATATATTCAGTTCCATATACTGTCTATTTAAAATATATAACTTAATTTAGGTTATATCCAGTTGCGTAACTACCGCAGGTTCATGAACCTTTGCCCCGAGCTCCAGGGATCCCCCAACCTACAAAGGCCCCGCTCCCTTATAAAAAAAATCTAATAAAGCAATGTTTTATTGTAAAATTTAACTATTGCTTCCTTCCACTCAAGTAATTTTGAAACCACAATAACTCGTTTCTTTTACATAGGTCATATATATTGAGATATTTAATAATTCGATCTTGGACTTTCGCATATAATACCACTAAGATTGGTCTATAAGTGTTAGGGCGTTGTTTGTTGCCTTTATACCTTTGTAGTCAGTGAGAATTTTCAATCGTTCGGAACCATCCATTCAATAATGATTTTATCGTAATGGAACATAGAGATATCACGATAAAGCGTGATGGAAGTCTTATTAACCTAGTATCGAAATTATGAAGTTGCGTATGCACCCCCTTTAGAGGTTGATAAAAGGTGTTCATAAACAACTGACACAAAATTTAAGTATTAACATTTTCTCAGCCTCAACCATGGTTTATGTGGATTGTAATTTTCGTAGATTTTTCTTTGTAATAAAGTGCCATTTCCGGCAGCTAAAACCATCAAATTCTGACAATTGTGTTACCTCAACCATGTGGGCTAAGATGGATGGTACATTCATAACGTTAAAGTACTGTTTTCGGGCATCTATAGACCTTTAAAAGTCTCAAATTCTTAAAAGGTACTCATCTACCCCCTAATGCTATGGTGGGGTTCACCCCATAATACTATAGTGGGGCTCACCTCCTAATACTATGGTGAGGCTCAGGTGGATATCGTAGATTTTTTAATATTCTAGTGTTATATTTAAGCATCTATAAGCTCAAAATCCTGGAAAATGTTTCACCCCATGGTGAGGCCCATGTGAATGGTAGCTTTTGGAATTGTCAGTGTTTAAGTGCCATTCGGGCACATAGTTAATTAATTCGGGGTTTTTTAACTTAATTGTAAAAAAAAAATTATGATAATTAAGTTCCATTTTGGGCATTCAGAGATAGAAAATACTAAACATGTACTCACGTCACTGCCATCTCAGGGGCGGATTTAGGGGGGGCCGGTCCGGCCCCGGCCCCCCCTTTTGGGAGGTGAAAAAAAAAAAAAAAAAGAAAAAAAAGAGAGAAAAAGAAAAAAATGATGGCCAAGAATGCCTCAAATGTTATGTTCGGGCGTCTAGAACACAAAAAGTTCGCGGACCCCCTACGACAGTGTTGTCTCAATCGGCCCAACTTTCGGCCCCCTTTTTGGACATCTCTAGATCCGCCCCTGCATGATCTAGTGACTGACGTGCTGTGCACTCACACTTAATCAGCACCAACTTCCTTATTCTGGACACGCCACTGATAAAATCAAGATAAACATGTCAGATTCTTCCTAATATCGCCAGATGCATGTACCGTAAAAATGAGTGTGAATATAATTTTGGTTTTTCATTCTGTTTTGTCTTCTTTAATTGAGTTAGAAATATGTGTATTACATAATCACGGTCATATATAAGTCCATTTCATTTTATTTAGCTTAAGTAGGCTTATATAAAAATATACAAGAATTGTTGATAGTTTAGTGCTTAATCCCATAAATAAATACACCAATTAAAAAATAAAATAACAAAGTTGCCTTTTCTTTTGGTCATAAGAAGTAGATATACTTATTATGGTCATCTAAAAATTACAATTTAAAAACAATTCGAAAAATGTATTGTCAAAATAGTATAAAAATAACCGGAGAGACAAGTGCTCCTCTAACCCATCGGTGGTACAATTCTTTAGTTGACATGCATCAATTTGCGTCAATGGCCCCGACTGTACTCTTGAACCAGGGCCCCTCACTACCTAGTTACGCCACTGGTTATATGCCTATATAATTTTGTTTACAACCAAAGGTAAGGGCTTTTGCTAATACAGTTTGGAACTATTATGATCTTTGCAAGCAGAGTTGTGTTCAGTAGTTATAGAACTTTTGGTCTGTCAGATGATTTTAAACCCAAAATCATGACATGGACTGGCAAACTGATGAACTTCTACAGCTTACTACTCATACAATATTGTCATGTTTTCTCTATTAGACAACGAATCACCAATACTTCAATGTCCACCAGACCAAAATGTAACCGCTGATTCAAACTGTATGGCAACTGCGACTTGGGCCGTACCGAATGTCACAGACAACTCCGGAGATATTTTTTCATCAGTATGTGATTACTTTAATGGAGGCATATTCTCTCAACTTAACTCTACTGTCACTTGTAATGCTACTGATGATTATGACAACACTGGGTACTGTACATTCAACATTTTAATCGTAGGTAAGGTATTGGAAGAATTAGATGTACATAAGGATTCTTAGGCCGCGTTTTAGCAACGGAACACTCAAATTTAATCGGTTTATACTTACTGCAACGAAGTGACCTCCAGAAGCTTGGTTATCATTTAGACTCACTAATTTTAAGGGGTAATGAGTAGTACGCAACATGCAGCGCGATAGCTCCGCCCCTTTTGTAAACAAATCGAAATACGCATGCGCAAACCCGTAAATAACGTACGTCGAGCACGTAAAATCCTGAAATTAACGTACTCCGCAACGCAAGATGAATAAATTATAACGTCATTCGTTAAAGTTAAGGTTAACGTCGTGCATCGAGAACTCCCTATAAGTAGGTCTGCAACGCAAATTCATTAACAATGGCGGAAGGCTATACCAAGCTTCGCTTTTTCGAGGGAATAATGCCTAGACAGGATTGTTCATTTATATGGAACTCAGTGTTTTGACGGTGAATATTTTCCTCCAATGAGCATATATTTTATATGTGAAGAATTTATGATATTTTATTGGTGAACATCCGAAATGGTAATTTAAAGCCAACGAAGTCGCTAAAAAGAGGTAAAAATGCAGCCTCTACGCGGTGGGCAGTCAGCATACCACTTATCGAAAAATGACAGTGCCTTTTTTTCAAGAAATACAAATACTAAAGCAATCAAAAAAGAATTGCCTTTTAAATGCCGAAGGGAACACAAAAAAATCCGACAAATATTAGTTGATATACGACTGTGGAAAGACAAAAAGTGACGGAAAATCAACTTATATCGGTGCGAAATACAGCTTGGAAAACTAATCCGCTGGGTTACTCTCGCTCTTTAACGACAATAGCGAGCTTTCGAAATGGGCGACGCGGAGAGCTGCGAAAGGGAATTCAGTCAACCATGAACATCGTACTATGCTCTTCCCGTCTCAACATCAAAGCTGTTTCGATTTACAAGACGACGCGCTCCCTCGTATCGCGTGATCAATTATGCAGGCGCCCCCAGCGAGCGCGTATTTATAAGACTCACGTTGCCGTTGTCAAGACAACGCCAAATCGCTTAAAGCCCGTTGTCAAATCCACACAACGAACGACTTCCCCATGTATTGGCATGCGCAGAACGGTTTCCCGCTCCACTGCCTGTCGTAGAACGCCGCGTCGTCTAAATCGAAAGCTGCTTGGTGTTGCGAGAAGAATCCCTATGATAAATACATAAATTAGCTACACGTATGTGTTAACAGATAACAAAATGAGTGTACCTATTTTTATCATCTAAATAATGTGATTACATTTGTTATTGTCTCAGATGACACAGCCCCAGATTTGACCTGCCCAGTCGACATTGAGGTGTGCACTGATCCAGAAAATGATTCCGTGAATGCCAATTGGCAACGAGCAAATGTAACTGACAACTGTTGTAGTGAGGTCAACATAACTTATAACTACACCAGTGGAGATACTCTGTCACTTGGAGTGTACACAGTGGGATATGCAGCAACAGATTGCAATGGGAATTCTGATTACTGCCAATTCACTGTTGATGTTAAAGGTACCAAGAACGATTAACAATATCAACATCATTAAACGTACTTATAAAAAGTTACAATTAATTGCAGAAGCTACATATTTGCAATAATAATAAAAAAAATTCCAATAATATGATTTCACAAGTTGCAGTGACAGCATTTTGTGGATTATTAATAGATTGTGAGCCTCCAGATCTTGAATGTCCACCAAGCCAAAACATAAGAGGTGATAAGAATTGCATGGCAAATGTCACCTGGACTGAGCCCACTGTTACAGACAACTCTGGAGAATCTTTTCCATCAGTATGTGATTATATAAATGGAGACACATTCTCAGATGTCAGCACTATGATAACATGTAATGCCACCGACAGTTATGGCAACACTGGAAATTGTACATTCACAATTACAATTTATGGTAAGTTACATTATTGATTATCGTATATTTTTAACGGAACACTTCTGGAAATATTTTGAATAGTAGTATATAGTAATTGTGTTAAATATTAATGCATAAGACAAAAATAGTTACTTTATTTGTAAGGAGATTACATTAAAATAAATCTGTGTATTTATTCGCGATTTATCCATAAATCAGTATGAACACGTTATATTTTCATTGCGGATTTTTTAGGCTCAGTACGGACTCTAAACGTATGGATTTTCTTTTAGTTTTAAGGCGTATGCGGATTTTATAAGTCCGCAATGACGATATAACGTGTTTATGGTGCTTAACACCTTTTAACACGTCTCCATTGTTCCAGCTAGATCTTAGCTTCTATTGCCAACTAGAGGAATATACTTCCTTGTTTCTGTATCCAATCAGATTTACTGTTTATTATATATTTTTGTCTATTATCCAATCATATCATCTTAAATTTTTAAAATTTTCAGTAAACAGAGCATAAATATATACAATAAAAATTAAAACACGAGTTCATTAATAATACTTTTAAATTGCAAGAAATTACAGTTAAAAATATCCAAAAAATTATTCTTTAAAAGACAAGCATTATAAGCTGACGAAATTCTATGGAAAATACAATTTTTACAAACATTTACACGAGAATATTTAACATGAAGAAAAGGTTTATAACGAAGATTACGAACAGGTACATTAAAATGAAACATAGATACAAGATTACATTTAAACATAGAGTTAAGACATTTGTACAAAAGGTATAAATCCTGTCTTGCTCTCCTAGACGTCGGAGAAATGATAGGAGGCCAATTGGCTGCTGGGCCGATGAAGCGCAAAAAATTTTCTATGGATTCGATCTATTCTAGAAGCTTGGAAAGCAGAGAGAGAGAGTTATATATAACTGAACAAAAATCGAGTGATGGTTGGATGAGAGATAAGTAAAGTGCACGTTTTGTGTGTGGGGAGAACTGAATGCAATTGCGCCACATTAGCCCAAGCAATCGATTGGCCTTTTAAAAAATATGGTCAACATGTGAAATAAATGTCAGTTTACGGTCAATAAAAATGCCGAGGTCACGATAAGAATTTACACTTTTAAGGACCTCACCTTGAACAGAGTAAGAAAAAGTAATAGGTGTATTCTTAAGAGAGCAAGACAGGACTTTGTATTTATCGGACTTCAGGGACATTTTCCAGTCGGAAACCCACTTGCCGAATCTTTCCAGATCCGCCTGGAGCGCAATGGAGTCCTCAATGGTGGTAATTATTTTATATATCTTGAGGTCATCAGCGAACATAAGACAGCTGGAATTTTGGAAAATATTAGGTATTTCATTAACAAAGATGTTGAACAGAATGGGGGCTAGAATGGAGCCTTAAAGAACTCCTGGGAGGACTGGGAGAGGGTTTGAAGTAGCACCTTCAAATACTACTCTCTGGAACCTATCGCTGAATTAACTTTTATACCAGGAAAGTAAGTTACCGCTAATGCCAAATTGATGCAGTTTTAATAATAATAACTTATGGGACAGTTTATCAAACGTTTTACTGAAATCAGTGTAAATTATGTCACATTGATTTTTAGTTTCGATGGCTTCATATACGGTTGACAGAAGTGTAGCAAGATTTGTATCACAAGATCTACCATGCATGAAGCCGTGTTGTTCTTGAGAGATAATAGGTGAAACATGGGATAAAAGTTGGGCGTTAATAAGCCTTTCAAGAATTTTAGAGATGGTTGGGAGTGGGGAGATAGGTCTATATTTTGGACTATTATTTTTGAGCCGTTTTTATGTATTGGGACGACATTTGTGGTCTTCCATAGGTCGGGAAAAGTGCCCGATGTAATGCAAGCTTGGTTGCACCTGATATGGGTCTAAAGTAAGATCCAATTTCGACGTACTTTTAGACCACTTACTAGTTGAAATATTGCACAAAACGTTGTAGTAAATGATATTAACTGGGTAGCTGCAGAAGTTTGTAGGTGAAATAACACAGTAAGGCAGAAAATGGCAAATATTGCACAGTACAAGAAGGCACAGTAACAGTAGCCTTTCAGCCATGATTTTTGTGATGTCCATGTATATGGCTGTATCTTGTGTAACACTTCACTCACCTGATGAAGCCCCATTGACTGGGGCGAAATGTTGTGAAATAAATTCATCGTCAGAAAAGCGCTACTTTCTAATTTGTTTCATTGGTATACAACTGACTAATACGGCTATACCACTTTTTTTTAAATTAAAATACATGTAATATTTACATATATTTATAATTATAAAATATAGATAACTACAAATAGTTTTTACAAGGATGAATGTTTTACTCTATTTTCATCAATATTTCATTTTAACCAGACGATCAAGACCCAGTCATACAATGCCCAGTTGACACACAAGTTTGCGCTCAAAATGGTTTTACAACAGCATATGTTACTTGGGCATTGATCAACGCAACTGACAATTGTGACAAAGTAAACATAACGTCAAATTGGGCGTCAGGAGATGAATTTGAAATTGGAGAAAATTTAGTAACATACACAGCAACTGATTGTAGTGACAACTCCGCATCATGTAATTTTACTATAGAGGTGTTTGGTAAGGTCAATCTTTTTCCTTGTATTTGATCGCGAACTATTTAGTTACATCATTTGCACTGCGGTTTTTGTGTCTACTGCTCCCAACGGGGGCGTAGACACTATGCAAAGATCTTATAAACACAAGATAGCGTTCTCCGCGATTTACGCGTGCAAATTCTGTAATAAGGCATGTACGGCGCCCTCTTGCTAAATTGGAAACTTTTGAACCTTGACCACAGCGTACGAATTTACGTCACGCTTAACAATTAGAAGCGTCCGATTAACAACGCGCCCTCTCTTTAGAACATAAGGAACAAATTAACGTACTCATTAACGAACTTTGGTGTAACGCGAACACCCTATCTCAGATCCATGGCAACGACTAGGGCGCCCTCTCCCAAAACTGATTACTTTTCTGTGCCAAATCGACGCTCCTATTTGTTACGCGTAAATCGCGGAAAACGCCATCTTGTGTTTATAACATCTTTGACACTTTGTCATATGGCGGAAAAGGGTAAATCCGGTTTAGGCATGATGGGTACTACAACCACGAAGTAGGAGCGCTCTACTGACAATTGAATAGCATTAGACGAATTCCTGTACCGCCATTTGAAGGACATCCTCTAGAACATGTTAGTACTCTTCGTGATCAACGACATAACGTGGTAACTGCACGAGTTACTCGTTTTTTAAATTTTTTTTTAGTGTAATATAGTAGGCAGTAGACACACGCTCCCGCTGGGAGCCTATTTTTTTTTTTCCTAGTTGAAGAAACCCAATACATATTGAATAGCGCCACCAATTCGAAAGTATACGTAAACAAGACAAACGCACAAGAAATTAAGCTGGTTATAATTTAAACATTGGTTAAATATAGGCCTATGTTCGGCAAGTTCTCCAAGCGTGTACACACACAATATCAGTATCAAATTTATTAACAATATATTTATCAGCATTACAATCATAATCACGACGAGTATCATGACTCTCCACATTATTTTCATCATCAGTCATTATATTATGATTTATTACTTACTTCAATACATTGTCCGCTACATGGTGGTATCATAAGCAATAGATAACTGCTGTGATGAAGCCAGGCCTCCACCAATAGCCTAGTCATTCTTAATCAGTCTATCCATTTTTAAATGAAAGAAACAAATAAAGTTATATGTAATATAATTAGTTTTATTGAATAAAGGTATTACTGCTGTTATACAGCAGTAGTACAGTCTGTACTGTTCTGTTGGTAGAGACCATGCTATTCATATATCCTTGTACTGTATTAATCTCGATATTAAATAATAAATACAGCCAAGATAGTATGTAATTAATTAACAGTTCCTGGTACCAATTAAATTATATACCATGTACATATGCCGCGTACATAGGCTAGTAAAACCTACACCTAGCTAAAAATAATGAATTCAGGGGAAGCTTCGAATATTCCAACATTAATGGTTTCTATGATGATTAGGGATCACAGCAAAATTAATTAATAAATGGGCTGTCGACCTTTATTTAAAAATGACAAAAAACAGATTTTTTTTTTCCGGGGCGGGTGGGGGTGAGGAGGTTGGGAACTTGGATTATCTTTTCTCCTACATCTTTTAGCTCCAGTCCATTTTCCGTGATAAACAAGTGCTTTGGTACGTCATATAATGTAATGAATATTCATGCTTTCTTCGTCAAAACTTCTAAAAAATAATTTTTATTGGCTGTATTCCGTGACGTATTTTTACAGATTTTTTTTTTTTTTTTTTTGTTATCGCTCATCGTGGTTTACTTTCGTGTGACTGCGCGCTTGTGTACTCAACAGCGCGACGGAATGGAATTGAGGGCGCGCTACTTAATTTATATCTTAGAAACAACACTGCTTAGATGGGTACATTATTTTGAAATATTTTTTTATTGTTCAGATTGTGAAGTTCCTGTTTTGAATTGTTCGCAAAATGTAGAATTTAATGTTGATGACAATTGTACTTCCGATGTAATTTGGACTGAAGTGACAGCAACAGACAATTATGATAGTAATGTAACTGTATTCTGTAGCCGGACTGAAGGTGTATTTCCAGTGAACAACTACGCAGTAACCTGTAATGCAACAGACATGGCAGGAAACACTGGCAATTGCTCCTTTAATTTTTACATTTTTGGTATGTATCTTTTTTTGTAAATATTTTGAGGAGTGTTACCTTCTAAGTCTTGTTATGCAACATACAACTACATTTTTTGATATCACAAACAAGTGTCCTGGGTATATTTCCGGTACCAAGTTCTTCATGCTTGCCGTGCCTAATTTTTGTCCCCGCGCTCTTTATTGGATGGGTACACTCTCTTGCTCATACATTTCAGTTAATGCAACACCGAATTGTTTTTGCTACCGAATTCTTTTTTTTTTTATTTCACACAACTATATATTACCGAATTTAAGTTTTACTGCCGATTTATACAACGCTGTAAATCTCACCTACTTTCTCTATGAATAACCACTTCAGCTAAATATTTTATAAAAGTTAAGTGTATTAGTAGTTTATGAAAGTTTTACAACTTTACAAATTACAATGGGGAAAAACAAGAGTGGTGTAACGCTTATGCACTCTCATGCAGCGGTCCGCGAGGCCCTGATCCCTAGGGGCTCCGAAGAAGCCCTACCCATAGGTTCTACGATTTAGCACCTTAGCCAAAATGACTTTGTTGATACATTACACCATAATGTGTCTCTAAAATCGAAATATATCATATTATATCCAGCGGCGGATTAAAGGGAGAAGCCATGCCAGCCTTGGGGCTCAAAAAAATAAGTGAAAATAGGGATATAAAGAATAGAATTATATTCACAATTTTAATTCTTTGAGTGCCATTTCCGGCCATCCAGACGTGCCATAAGAATAGATTTTCACCACCAGGGCAACACCGTAGTGCGTCTCTGAAATCGACTATAGGACATATACCATATTATATCAAGAGGCGGAATAAAGAATGGGAAACTGTCTACAAGGGGCCCACTAAATTTGTCAAAATATTTTATAAAACGAGATAAAAAGAAAATTATATTCACAATTTTATACCTGTGAGTGCCAACCATGGTGGGACTGAGCTGTTATTGACTTTCCAACAGTGAAATTCCCTCTCTGGTACCTTTATTTCAAATACCTGCATCCGCCACTGATTATTTAATTGTCGTTAAAAAACATTAAGATCAAAAATGCAAACATGATTACAAAATGAGCACATCTAAAATCCCACGATGAAATTGGCGACCGGGGCCAAAGAAAGAATCCCCAGTTTCAGAAAGCGACAGGGTCCCCCGGCCCCATCGTTACGCCACTTGCCCTGGTATGGGTTATGTGGAAGAAAATTAACGTACCCTACGGTTCACATATCTCCGATGACTTGTTTTAATCGGTGCGCCGGGTCCTTAGATTGTCGTGTTATCATTGTTTTTCCTCTCTGTCCCAAGCTTAAATGGCCGACTGAGTTATGAGGTCTAGTAGAATTGGAACCCGCACCCCATCAACGTAGCGATGATATAATACGAAATAAGAGGAAAATCCAATTGGACCTCCCTAGAATTTAAACCCGAGACCTGTCATACTGTTCTGAAGTTCTAGTTGATGGGGTCCAGCGAGATTCGAAACATACCTCCATCCGCGTAACTATGTGATACGTAATAAGGTGAACAAATCAAATTGGATTTCCTCGGGATTTAAACCAGGGGCCTTCGAAATACAAAATAAGTTAAACAAACCAAATTGGACTCCAGTCAGGACTTGAACCAAGACCCATCATCTGTAGATGGACTAGACCTCTTTTGGATTTGAACCCTGGACCTTTGTCATACAGTTCGGAAGTCTTAACCAATGGGATCCAGTAGGCTTCAAAACATATCCCATCGACCTAACGATGATATACGAAATAAATAAAAAAATAAATAAATTTGGACCAGGGCTCCATGATTTGAAAACGGAAACTACGACATATTATGTGGATGCTTTGACCGACTGAGTTACGGGGGCCCCGTAGAATTAAAGCCATATCCCCATCGTCGGACATGAAATATATAATCCGAAATCCGAGAAATATCAATTTGTACTCCTTCTGTATTTGGACCCGACACCCGCCAATCCCACTAGATCCAGGGTGGGGTCTAGTGGGGTTGGGGCCATCCTATCAACGTAAAGATGTTATAATACGAAATCGGTGTGGGGGTCAAATTCAATCCCTTGATGAGAAGAAAAATCTATAGAATATAATATGGATCGGGTTGCGACGGAGTTTATTATAAAGTGTACAGCTCATTTTATTATAAAATGTGTCAGAAAGTTATTACAAAGTGTGACACACCTCAGTTTTTAAGAAGTGTAACAGACTTTATTGGAAAGTGCGACAATTATTACAAAAAGTACAGAATTTGTTACAAAGTCCGACAGGTATTAAAAAGTGCGACGATTATTACAAAGTGCGATGCAACACCGCCGGTTCCTTAGGATGTGCGGTCATATTTGGCTCCAATTGGCTGGCACTGCCCTGGCCATTAGTCCCTTAAAAATCATTAGATTGCAGTCATGGAGTTATTCCCGATCATTGCCTTCGCACTTGAAATTTGGGGAGCATCCTTTGCTACTAACCGCCGGATTATTTTAAGATCAGATAGTGAGGCCGTTTTCATTGCTAATAACCAGAAAACGTCCCGCGACCCTAATTTACTTAATTTATCTGACGGTTGTTCATGTGTTGCCTGAATTACAACATTGTTTTTAATTAACTTTTTGGCTGACCTACTATCAGGGTTTTAAAAAACCAAAAATTCTCTTTTCCTCGATTGACGATACTCCGACATCGGTCAGCGATGTGCAATTGTAAATGTAACGCGTTCAGCTAATACTTTTATAATCAATTTACCTCTATTTGCTCTTGGGGTACACTTTATCAGTATCATTGAATTTATTATATTAGAATTTAAAAATTAATTAAATTATGTTTGTTGTTCATCCCAACTCAGTCGCGGATAAGCTTTTATGAAAGGAAATTTAGAGCAAGAGGGTTTAGTCAGCGCACCGTAATCTGTACTAATGCTGTATAAATTGTTAATTATTAACAGTGTGTTTTGGCTCTATGCTTATTTTACTTGTATGTTTATCACAACAATCAATACGTTTTCAATGAAATGTGATTATCATCTGACGCCTTTCTACATTACTGTATTATATATTTAACGTGTACACTTTCGCCATTTAATAAAAATGACGTTTCCATCCTATATGATGCGTTCTTTGTATTTTGTCTTGGTGGTCGTTACGTGCTTGTTTGTGACGTAAAGATATTTGTGTTTATACACAATTTCTTGTGATTATCTTTCATTCTTTATTAGATGTAACTTCTCCTGACGTGATATGTCCCGACAATATTACTGTTGATACTGATGTTGGGGTTAATACCGCCACAGTGACCTGGACGTCTGCCATCGCTACTGATAACTGTTGTGAAGATGACATTATTGTGTCCTATAATGCCACAAATGGCACCAATTTTAAAATTGGAGTCACCGAAATTAGTTTTACAGCAGTGGATTGCTACGGAAATCAGAATGAATGTGTTTTTATTATTGATGTCAAAGGTACAACATGTTATTTATTATAATTATATTTCTTATTAGTAAGTGAAAATATATATTCATCTTTTATATGGTGGCTACTAATAAATTTACTTTGTTTAGGATTATATCATGTGCAATCACTGTTATTATTATAAAAATATTTTTTTTTATGTTGTGTTTAATTTGAATATGATTTACTATGATTTCCAAGCTTATTTAACTTAACCATAGCTCCAATAGCTCCAATATTGTGAGCGTTTCAGTCATTTGTGTGAGAGTGTATGCCAGTCTGGTGCAGCGGTTGAGGTTTGGGCTTTCAATCGTAAGGTCGGAGTTTTGAGTCTCCGCTGTGCAGATTTGCTTGTGTTCTCGGGCAAGGCACTTTAGCTACGTTGCTTCAGTCCACTCAGCTGTATCAGTGGGTACCAGCAAACTGCTGGGACTAACATGCGACGGACTAGTGTCCTGTCCAGGGGAGTACACCTCTCATCCGCTTCACACTACAGAAATTGGGCGTTCATGGACGTTCTACTGTTTAAATGCAGACGCCTTAACCAAACGGGCTATTGAGGCTTTGTGGGAATTAAAATTTTAGTAAGGTTTTTAAAATATAATTTTCTCAAATCGTACAACACATACAATGATTTTACGAATGGTAACCATATTGGACATCTAGAAACAGACTGATCACAAGGAGTGGTAAGGTGACAAAAAAAAAGAGGCATTTACTTTTATGGAACCTTCGAACAGTATGACTTTTATGCAAGGCAACGTAATTGTGATAGTCAATTAAAATGAATGATTTATAATAAATGAAATACAAAACATTTGAGCTGCATAAAGGCGTTTCGAGTGGACGAAATACAACTGATCATACCAGTATAGCTACAGTTTAGTTATTACACAATTTCAGTTGCCTATCCCCACCCCTATCTTAGAAGTCTCATCTTAGAAGTCTGTCTTTATAGTTTTGTGGAATTGATCTTTATTTATTTATTTTGCAAGTTGTTAAATCTGTAGTTAAGAATTTCAGTCAAAAGAACTACAGGTTCCTGTAAAACATTTTGTCTGATTTCTATGAGTCATTTGCATCATATCTTAATAATAAAACTATTTGGTATTGTCTGACACAGTTTTGTAAAATACAAAATTAGGGTGACCAGTGATGTCACTGACAAATGTAAAATCATGAATATTCCGGAGTTGATGGTAAAGAAGAACTCTTTTTATGATTCAGATGAATTCTAAAAAATACTTAAAGTTTGTCTGTTTCCTTAATGGTTTAAGTAGTTTTACAATGAAAACCGAACGTTTAACTCCTAAAGTAAAAAACTATGAATATAGTTTTTATAATATCTACTCATCAATGAAGTAGGCAGAAACACAATATTTACTTGAAGATCTATAATTATTTGCTGGTGGTGGTTAGAAGAGGCGTGTTTTCTACTAAGGTGTACTATAGAAACAATACATGTTTGAAAATCTGACCATACAATATTTTAGAATTACTTGTTAGGCTAGAGTTCAGGAATAGGGTTTAAGTGACTTCACAAAATACCTTGTAGTGTCAAATAGAGGCATGTACAATATCTGAATAATTTTTGAGACCAAAACAGACTTTTTACGAACACTAGGCAGGAAATATGGAAATCCTGCAAAACGTGGGCATTGTTCAAACGTGACATTTCCGGTTCACTGTTGGAGAAACTGTTAAATTAATGCAAAAATTAAAATGTGCATGGTCTGAACAATTTGAAACAGAAACGATACAACCAGTGGTTGCCAAGATATGCTGTATCTACATCCCTAATTTGCATATTGACAAAAGTGTAATTTATGGAATTTACTGATCCTGCATTTGCGTATTGTTTTTAATTACAATGAAAATTTCTTTTATGCAAGTTGTTTCATTTGAAAGGCTAGGTTGTAGTTGACTAATTAAATCATTAATTTTATATATTAACTATACCGGTATGTTAAAAATAAATAGCGCTGAAATAACTAAAATGACGGTCATTTTGGATTTGAATTTTGCAGATTAAATTAAAATATTATTTTTATTTTAATGTCATTTATGTGAGAGTAAATTAATTTTTGTTTATGTCATAAAATTACAATTATTGGTACTAAATTTAAAAAAAAATGAAGGCCAATTTGAAATTGCTTGCTACTCCCCTTCCGCATGAAAAAAAAAAACAATGTGGCACATACTTTTTATATTCAGTGATGTCTATTCTACAACATATCTAATGTTAAAAATTATAGCAAAAAAAAAATGAAATGGCGCGTTGATAATGAGTCTAACTTTTAATTTACAGATACTGAGCCGCCAATGACCGATGAATGCTTAGCAAATATTACAAAAAGCACGGATGTTGGTGAAAGCTTTTCTTCAGACATTGTTTGGACAGCTCCTGAATTTACCGACAACTCTAAGATTACACCAAATGTTAGTCCATCACACGATTCCACGGATACTGCTTTAGAATATCCAATCGGTACAACCATAATAACCTACAATGCGACAGATGACGCTGGTAACCTAGGGCAGTGTGAATTTCTTATTATTGTTACAGGTTCGTTGCACACATAAGCATAATGTACTTACAATCTTTATATAAATGACACGAAAACTACTCAATGTACTATGTAATGTAGAAACAATGGATCAAAACCTCAATACATTTGGTATAATTTCTTGGTTAACCTAAAAGAATTCTTCCATGGGACTCAAATCTGATTATAACAACATAGTATTCGCATTTGGATTACGGTGTATCAGTGTTATCAGATACAGTGCTCGATACTAAGCTGTAGAGCTTATAATTTTTATTTTGATATATTCCACAATTGTTTATTTGTGGCTTGGTTGTTACCCAGTTTTCTGGTGACCGCCATAGGGCGCAAAACTCAAAGCAACAACAAAGCCACATCCTGTCTCTTATACACATCTGGTGCCCTATTCATTCTGTTGTCTATACCGCATACATTGAATATTTTGATTCCGAAACTGAGGAACAGAGCCAGCCGAGATTTTTTTTTCTGTACGTCTGAGGCATTGACGATTGGTGGGGCTGTATACTTATATTATCGCCTTCCAGATCTGCAATAAACTCTTGAATATTTAATGTAGTTTCTTATCGTCGGAGCGAGTTCTGCTATATTAATGCCGATGACATGCGATGCGATCAAGGACTTATAAAAACAGTTATATAAAAACAGTTATAAGCGACAATTGCATTACTTTTTATTAATTAATGAAAAAATGAATTTAAGCGGAGTGAGTTCTGCTATATTAATGCCGATGACATGCGATGCGATCAAGGACTTATAAAAACAGTTATATAAAAACAGTTATAAGCGACAATTGCATTACCGTTTATTAATCAATGAAAAAATGAATTTAACTTTATAAAGCCTAAAAACATTAAAACTAAATACTTATTCAATTACTATTACTACTTAGACCCTAATATTTTTAGTGTTACTGTATTACATAGGCTTACTTATGTGTCGGTGTTTAGGTTTTTAATACTTGTGCATTTATGTCATTCATACAAGTCTTTTGGTACAGTATATTGATTTATGAGTGAGTGATAATACATTCTTAAAAAAATAAGGCGTATAGTATTTATAATTTTGTAAATAACAGCCTAATTATTAATTATTTTTAAAAAGTGGATCAAGTCTGTGGTGCTGCTCAACCCTATACTCTCATAAGGTCTACTAGACTTGCTTGTCGGTGTTGTATAATGTCTTGTGGTACTTGAGTCTTGGATATAGCATAACAAGTTGAAGTGCAAACAGCGTCTGGAAACTCACTAGAAATATTTATGCGATTGTTGTTGGATCAAGCAGGTGTTATGTTGAAAATATAGCGCCCCAATCATCATATGCTTTAAACGCCCAGAAAAAAATGCGACCCGGCCACCACTATGCTGTTTTCTTTTGAACAGACTCTGCCATTAAAGACTAATCAAACCTATGTAATGAAATCAAGCGTAATATGTATAATTATGTTTTTCTTGCTCCAGATAATGAGCCACCATTGTTTACAGAATGTCCTTTAGACATAGCTCAAGGAACAGATTATGGTCTTCCATCAGCAGTCGTCACATGGTCTGACGTTAACGCAACCGATAACTCTGGAATTCCTCCCAATATCCTCTCAAACTACGATAGCGGAGACAATTTTCCGATCGGATCAACGTTTGTCGAGTTCAATGCGACAGACGCAGCCGGGAATGTCAATACGTCATGCCAATTCTTTGTTAGTGTTACTGGTAAGTTAATTGTTGTAAAAACACTGGTACTACACATTTATGCATAACTTATGAAAAAGTTATAGCTCCTATAATTATAAAGCCTTTACTAATAATTTATAATAAATAAGTTTAGTGCATTGCAGGTACTTATTGACAGACCTCGACAAAAAAATACTGATTGGAATTATACACATATTTACTCAATAATAAATTAGAGTTCCCACCCACAACAACTAGGTTTCTTCCATCTACAAGTTTCGAAGAGTTAGTCCTCGAGAAGGATTCGAAGGGTAAGACTAGATGGGCAACTCGTAGCATCTCTTACCTCGTGACAGAACTTTGAAATCGATCACTTCTTTATGACTCATAGTTAACTCGGAAAACTAACTCGCAGAAAACTCGGGAAATCCACAGGGTTGCTACAACCTATTTATGAGTTTGCCGTGTTCACCATGAGTTGTAAAAAATTCTAACTCTGAATATTTGTAACACACTGGAGTTGCATTGTATCTAACACATTAAACCGCGTGAAGCTCATACTAAATTTGCGAAGCTTGTAGTTAAACGATTAAAAGTATTAGTAAACTCGCACTTGACTCTAAAAATTCGTACTTCGCTCAGAATATTTTTTAACTTATCTCGTGTTGAGGCGTATCTAACTCATAAAAGGGTATACAGGCCTACTTCTAAATATCTCTTGAATCTCGTAGTAAATTAGCAATAATTTCGAAATACAACGAGAATGAAACAAGGAAGTTTATTTACGTTGTGATAGGCGAGTAGGGCGCGATTTTGTTTAGCTTAAGAGGTAAGTTTCAAAAGTGATAACAATGTCACTGCTGATTTAATTTGCTGTAGCGCCTTGAGTACTATTGCAGTGTATTTGTGCGCTTTATAAATCTTTTTTTTTATCTTCTGCAATGGAGACTAAAAATGTTAGTCCTTTACATTTAACCATCAATCTATCTTAGGCCAGTGTTTGGGCATTAGTTGCTGTAACTTGGATCCAAACGGCTCTTCCCCACACCCCAATTGTATTTTCCTGGCATTTAAGAGTACAGAGGACTATGTTCTTTTCATTCATATTAATTATAGGCTAATCATACTATTGATATCAACAATAATGAAACATAAGTTGAATAAATATCGCTTGATTTTTCACTCTCATAATGGGAGAGAATAAGTATTGAATGACCTAAAGAGTGAATATTCCGATCCACAATAATAGTGTTGAATATCCTGGTTTCATCGTCAGAAGAGCGCCCAAAGATGAATTGCGCTTTCGTGTGTTGGAAGCATAATGTATCAATCGCATTATGCCCTCTATAAACCGTAAGAATGAGCTTAGTAACGCTTTCCTAATTACTTTTCTTTTGTTCAACACCTGTTAGCTTATTAGCACTGTATTCAAGACCTGGCCTGCCTAATCCCTGTCTCAGTTGCTGATGTGTCTTTGATACGACGAATTATTCAACAATATTCTTGTGGATCGGAATATTCACTCTTTAGGACATTCAATACATATTCTCTTTAATAATGAAACAATGATAATGAGGAGTTTAAAGAAAATATCCTTCGTAGAATATTATTATTAGAATAATAATTATAATGATAGTAACAATAAATAAATAATATTGTTTATAATAATGAAGATACAAAAATAATATTAATGATAATTGTAACTAATTAATATTGTAGCCTATTATGCCTATAATATAATATAGAAGTGTAATTATCTGATTGGTTCACAGATGACGAGATGCCGATGGCAGATGATTGCCCAACCGATCAGAGCGTGACAACGAACAAAGACATGAGTTTTGCTACTGGTGTCAGTTGGACTCTACCGATATTTGAGGACAACGTTGATAACACTACTGATATCATGATCTCAGAATCACAAGCAAGTGATATTTTTACAATGTTTTCTATTGGAGCAACAAAGATAACTATCAATGCTACAGACCAATCAATGAATACAGGAACGTGTATGTTCAATATCTACGTCACAGGTATGTATACATCTAGTTTATCTATTGGCTATCAATGGAATATAACAAAAACACAATAACTGGTATGATAGTAATACACTATTATTTGTGTTCTTCAAATATGAATCAATTCAAATCAAATATACTTTTAATTCCATACAATAGAAATAATATAAATATAAGGTATAAAATACAGTATTTGTTACAAATACATTGTATGGAAGGAGGTTACCTTTTACAAAAAAAAATTTCAAATAACACACGAATAAATTCAACCTCTAATTTTAATTTGTATTTATTCACAATCGTCTAGTTGGTGCAGCGATTCCATGGAGTTCTGAGCCTCATGGTCGAGAGTTCGAGCCACACGCTGACCATTCTCTCCCGGTAATGCCTATATATATACCGGTTTGCACTGTTGACAGGTTGTGATGTGGTTCACACTATGTTTCGCAATGGTTTATAAATAAAATAATATAAAATATTGTCGCCGTAACTCGTCAATACAGATGGTAATACCTGGTATTGAACCAGTATAAAAAAGTCTCTAATAATAGTGCAGATTTGTATATCGCTGGTATCCATTTAACAATATGCACATGGCGCTTAAGATATTTTAGCCTCTTGATTGTTTTGGCCTCTGAGGGTTACTTCGTGTCTATGCTGCCCGGTAGCAGCAACTCTCGTCGTGCTCTACATGGGCTGTCTGTACTAGTACACCGGGGTATATCCTACTCGTCTACAATGATGTACTTGGTTCTTTATACAAGAGTCATTGTGTACACTGAGCATACGGTTTGTTGTACTTATCCGAGAAGACTTTTTATACCACAAGAAACATAGGCAAGCGTGCCGCTCCAACAAGCGCCAATATCATGGCTGCAGGTTACGGCGCCCATGCATTTAACTGTTCGGCAATTCGACTCGCTCTAGACATAATTTATCCATTATGCTAATTTAAACCCACATACAAATGCGATTTGTCATATCTTATATCTTATACGCCCATGATGTCTCCATTTGTTTTCTTGCTTGTTTATTTTATATTTGTATAATTCTTAAATGATCTTGTAAAGTAGCACCTGAAGAAGGACGAACACAGAAACTATTGTGTTAATTTCAAATAAATTTTACCGAAATATACATATAAAAAAATCATATAATAGTAACTGCTTTAATTAAAGAGAGAGTATATTTTTTCACCAATTTGAGTAATCGTCATGTATACTCCATACACAATAACCAGTTACGACTGGAAATAAATAGTGGCATATAATACAAATCAAGATAGTCGTCAACACTTTTACAATATATGAATAATCAAAGATAGGTAAATACAAGTTCGAAATAAATACCATGATGGTACATCGTGTTGTATAGCTCTCAACGAATGTTGTCCTATAAATCAATAAATACATTGTGTAGTAAAATGCCTGCAACCTCTTGCTGTCAATACTGTCAAGGCGAGCGTCATAACCATAAGACCACAGTAGATTCATGGTTAAAGGTTTAATAACAGGTTCTTTTTTTTATTCAACTTTTCACCCAGGGGTACCTCACAAGGCGATCTCAATCCTTAGTAACGAGGTACCACTGAAAACAAAATAAATAACAAATACAATGGCACTTGGCACAAAAAGGAAAAGTTGAAATTTAATAAAAAATACATTGTCTGACAAATAAAAATTCAATCTAAACCTGATGATCAAGCTCTTTGAATTTAATGAAACTAATCAGCAAAAATGTCACAATAAACATTTAGTTTATTTGTTAAATTTTAAGGTCAAATATAGAACAATAATTTACTAAAAATATGGGATTGAATATTTTTTAGATTATTACATTATTATTATTATTATTATTATTATTATTATTATTATTATAATCATTATTATTATTTTTTTTTAATTATTACATTTTTTAATGGACAACTAAGATTCAAAACGTCCAGTATCTAAAATATACATCTGAACCCTGTTAAACAGAACACAATTTTCATCATTTGAAAAATTTTGGGAACTAAAAATTAATAAATTAAATAAGAAATTCTGATCAATATTTCTTTCAAACGAGAAATCAGCAAAGATAGTTGGAAAAATATTTTGAATTACAGTGAGCAACTTATTTCTTTTAGTAACAAAAAGGGGACACATTATAAAATAATGGAAAGGGGTTTCTATACCATTTCCACAAGCACAAATAGGATCAGCCTTCAAACCATAAGAATGTAAATGAAAATTAAGGCTGCTAAAACCAAGTCTTATTCTTGTATGTATTTCATTAATTTTTTAGACCCAGTATCATAATATCTTATTTTTGTTGGAAAACCTTCTTTTAAATAATTTTTAAACACAGAAATTGATTGAGAATTTCCTATTTTATTATTAAAGGTGTTCCAAACAGAGGTAACAGAGTATATAAATGATGAATTATATAATTCAGTTCTGCAAAGTGGGAGTTTTTTAATTTCTTATGCCACGTAAATTATATACTTCAACATTTTCAAGAAAACTAAACATAGACAATAAATACTGCGGCGTTTGATTATTTCTTATTTTTTTTAAATAAACACTGTTTAAAATAACTTCGCCTACTCTGGAGGGTTGTCCAACCAAGTTCAGTACGTAGTAGTGTATGACTGGTAGGCCCTATGCCTCCATGCACCTGTACAGCTTCTTGCAAAGCTCATTTGAAGATTTTCTAGATCTGAAGCTGGCTAATGGTCATATTATCCCACACATATTTATTTAATATTAATTGTATATGCCTATTCCATGATAAATCATAACTAAATATTACGCCTAAGTGTTGATGATATTTTACAAAATTAATTTCATGATTTTCAAAGAATAAACGTAATTCAATCTGTGTTTGCATCAGACTTCTTGAAAACATAACTGCCTTGGTTTTATCAGCATTAAAGTTTACCTTCCACCTTTCAGCCCATTCAGAAATAGTTTTTAAATTGTCATTTAATCTAATTGCAATGTTGTTTCTATCATGACCAACTTCAAATGGTCCACAATATCATTTATATACACTAAGAATAAAAATGGACCCAAGATTGATTCTTGTGGAACACCTGCAATGTTATTTCTCCATTGACTACAACGCCTTGGATAACTACACGTTGCTGTCGATTAGAAAGATAACCCAAAGACCATTTATATAAATTACCTGTAACACCATACTGTCTTAACTTGAAAAGTACACCATTATGCCACACCTTATCAAAAGTTTTAGATATATCAAGAAAAACTGAACAGACTTTTTTTTCTTTACCCAAAGCTTTGTGAAATGCGTTATTTAAGTAAACAAGTTGATTTACAGTAGAATCGCCAGGTATAATACCAGATTGAAATGGGGAAATAAAACTGTTTAATTTAAAATAATCATAGACAACATCAAACACTACTTTTTCAAATATTTTTGCTTTGTGTGATACAACAGAATTGGAATGATAATTTTGTAGCTTTATTTATACCTAAAAAATTTACATAATAAAGAACTTGGTCAGATGTCACTGCAATTTCACCAATTCTTTTATTAGTTTTATAACAGAAATCAGACGGTCTTTGATTATTTGGTAATGCGGACTGGTTTATAAAATAATTATTAAACACTTCAGCCTTCTCAATATTTTCTAGGATTAAATCATTTCCAACCAATAGTGGTGGAAGAAATGCTTTTGGTTTAATCTGACATAACGTATTGTCAGTAGCCCACCACTTTTTTGCATTAATATTTGGTGATTTTTAGTGTCTCAGAAGTGGAAGCGAGGTAATCTTTTTTTGCTTTTTTAATAGCTGTAATAACTTTCGCTCGATAATTTTTGAAGCGTCCCATGTGTGAAATTGAATAATGTCTACGAGAATGAAGTCTATTTCTTTTCCGAATTAGGGTTTTTATATGATTGTTCATCCAAGGCTTATCATGTGAATTAACAGTATTACCTGTGAGACTATATGCAACTAGATAGATTTTTGAAGATAACTTAACCAGGTATTACAAACGTCTTCAACATTATTACATGTCAGTAGACAAAAGAGAATTACGAAAGTAATCAAAATTTGTAAGATTAAACATAAAAATTTTCCTTGTATATGATTTTTTCACGAAAAAGAGGAAGGTTTATAATTGCATACACTGGAAAATGATCACAGTTACTTATTGGATTAAATGCACCACACTTTATAGTGCAAATATTCTGACTTGTAATTATGTGATATATGCAACTTTCAACATTATTTGAATCTATACGTGTAGGAACAGTTATGAACAATAAAATCATCTAACAAATTTCCAAGTCTATTTGTTTTATCAGACTCAAGCCACAATTGTGTGCATTCATATCCCCTAATATTATAAATGAATTTACACTCACACTGCTATTAGCATTAATATGACATTGAAGATAATCAAATAATTATTATCATGTTGACTACTACATGAGGGTGGGCGATAGCATACACAAGTCAAGATTTTCCAGGATGATGTTTTTAGCTAACACCAAATACAGTTTGAAGGCGAATCCAATTGTGAGTTAATTAGTTTTGCGTGTATTGAGTTTGAAACATATAATGCAATACCGCCTCCATAGCAATTTCTATCCTGCCTAATTGGTTTTTGGAAACCATTTAAAAGTATACTGATAAAGTTTTCTTTTTATAAGTTAGAAGTCTTCAAAATTTTCGCTTATCTCAAGAAAATATAAATATTTCGTTTTTGATAATTTCACTGCTATGTATATTTTTACATCAACATAAATATATTACTGTATCAATTTTCTTTTTATAATTTAGATAAGTCTTCAAACTTTTCGCTTATCTCAAGAAAATAGAAGTATTTCGTTTTTTATACTTTCCCTGGTATGCATCTTTTTACATCAACATAAATATTTACTGTAACAATTTTCTTTTTATAATTTAGATAAGTCTTCAAACTTGCTTATGATCTTGATTTTATCTGAACTTTTTACCTTGCAAAAAACACAAGCATCAGCTGTCCAAGCCCTATCTACT